AATGAAAATGATAATGCAACTTATCAAAGGTTGTGGGATGCAGCCAAAGCAGTGCTCAGAGGGAAGTGTATAGCACTGAATGCACACTGTAGAATGGAAGAAAGATCTAAAAATCAATAATCTATATTTCCACCTTAAGAAACTAAAAAAAGGACAAATTAAATCCAAAAATAAGTAGAAAAAAAAGAAATAATAATTAGAGTGGAAACCAATGAAACTGTCAACATGAAATAGGAAAAAAAAAAAAATCAGTGAAACCAAAGCTGGTCCTTTGAAAACATCAATCAATTTAATAAGCCTCTAGCAGGATAAGAAAAAAAGAGAAAACACAAAGTACTAATATCAGAAATGAAATGGGACATCATTACAGATCCCATAGAAATTAAAAGGATAGGGCGCCTGGGTGGCTCAGTTGGTTGAGCGACTGCCTTCGGCTCAGGTCATGATCCTGGAGTCCCGGGATCGAGTCCCACGTCGGGCTCCCTGCTCAGCGGGGAGTCTGCTTCTCCCTCTGACCCTCTTCCCTCTCGTGCTTTCTATCTCTCATTCTCTCTCTCTCTCAAATAAATAAAATCTTAAAAAAAAAAAAAGAAATTAAAAGGATAATAAATACTATATCATAAATGTGGATAACTTAGATGAAATGGACCAATTCCTTGAAAGACACAATCTGCCAAAATTCACACAAGGAAAAAAAAAAAGATCTGAGTAGTCCCATATCTATTACAAATACTGAATCAATAATAACCTTCCAAAACAGAAAGCACCAGGCCCAGATGAGTCCAATGGTGAATTCTACCTAGCATTTAAGGAAGAAATTATACCAATCCTGTCCAATCCCTTTCAGAGGATAGAAGCAGAGAGAATACTTCCTAACTCACCTATGAGGCCAGGATTCCCCTAATACCAAAATCACAAAAAGACATTAAAAGAAAGCTACAGACCAATGTCTCTCATGAACACAGATGCAAAAACCCTCAACAAAATATTAGCAAATCAAATCCAACAATATATAAAAAGAATTATACCTTACAACCAAGTGGGATTTATCCCAGCAATGCAAGATTCACTCAACATTTGAAAATCTATTAATGTAATCCATCGCATCAAAACACTAAAAATAAATCACATAATAGGTTCATATCAATAGATGCAGAAAAAGCATTTGACAAAATGCAACTCCCATTCATGATAAAAACTCTCAGTAAACTAGAAATAGAGGGAACTTTCTCAACTTGATAAAGACTATCTACAAAAATCCTACAGCCAACATCATATTTAATAGTAAGAAACTCAAAGCTGTCCCACTAAGATGAGGTACAGGGCAAGGATGTTCCCTCTTACCACTCCTTTTCAACACTGTACCAGAGATCCTTGCTAATGTAATAAGGCAAGAAAAAGAAATTAAAAATATACAAATTGGGAAGAAAGACAAAACTGACTTTGTTCAAGATGACATGATCATCTATGTAAAAACTCTGAAAGAATAAGCAAAATCTCCTGAAATTAATAAGCAGTTATAGTGACATTGCAGGATACAAGATTAGTATACAAAAGCCGATTGTTTTCCTATATACAGACAATAAACAAGTGGAATTTGAAATTAAAAACACAGTATTATTTACATTAGCACCCTTGAAAATGAAACACTTAGATGTGAATCTAAAAAATATATATATAAGATCTATGTGAGGAATACTACAAAACTGATGACTGAAATCAAAGAGGAACAAAATAATGGAGAGATATTCCATGTTCATGGGTAGGAAGACTTAATATTGTCAAGATATCAGTTCTCCAAAATTGATCTATAGATTCAATGCAATCCCAATCGAAATCCCAGCAAGTTATTTTGTGGATATCGACAAACTATTTCTAAAGTTTCTATGGAGAGGCAAAAGACCCAAAATAGCCAACATGATATTGAAAGAGAAGAACAAAGCTGGAGGATGACATACTTGACTTTAAGACTTAGTATAAAGCTACAGTAATTAAGACAGTGTGGTGTTGGAGAAAGAACAAATACATCAATGGAACAGAAAAGAGAGCTCAGAGATAAACCCCATAAATACAGTCCACTGATCTTCGACAAAGGAGCAAAGACAGTCTCTTCAACATATGGTGCCAGAACTGGACATCCACATGCAAAATCATGAATCTAGACACAGACCTTGCACTCTTCACAACAATCAACTCAGAATGGGTCATAGACCAAAATGTAAAATGCAAAACATCTAAAACTCCCAGAAGATAACACAGAAGACCTAGATGACCTTGGGTGTCATGATGCCCATTTAGATACAACACCAAAGACACAATTCATGGAAGAAATAATGATCAACTGGACTTCGTTGCAAGTAAAACCTTCTGCTCTGGAAAGACAAGATCAAAAGAATTTGAAGACAAGCCACAGACTGGGATAAAATATTTGCAAAAGACACATCTGACAAAGGACTCTTATCCAAAATATATAAAGAACTCTTAAAACTCACCAATGAGAAAATAACTCAGTTAAAAAGTGGTCCAAAGACTGGGTGTTATATAAGACTGATGAATCACTGAACTCTACCTCTCAAACTAATATATTATATGTAGATTGAATTTAAAGAAAAAAAATTAAAAAAGAAAGTGGGCCAAAGACCTTAACAGGCACCCCACCAGAGAAGATATAGGATGCCAAATAAGCATATAAAAAGATGCTGTGTCATATGTCATCAGGGAAATGCAAATTAAAACATCAGTGAGCCACCACCACACATCAAGAAGAATGGCCAAAACCTGGAACACCAAGAACACCACATGCTGGTGAGGATGCAGAGCTCATTCACTGATGGCTGGAATGCAACATGGTATGGCCACTTTGGAAGACAGTTTCGCGGTTTCTTACAAAAGTGTGCATACTCTTACATACAATCCAGCAGTCACGCTCCTTGGCATTTACCCAAAGGAGTTGAGAACTTATGTCCACACAAAAACCTGCACGTGGATGTTTATAGCAGCTTTGTTCATAATTGCCAAACTTGGCAGCAACAAAGATGTCCTTAGGTGAGTGAATGGATTAATAAACTGTCTATATCTAGACAATGTAATATCATTCAGCACTAAAAGCAGATGAGCTGTCAGGCTGAAAAGACATGGAGGAACCTTATATGCATATCACCAAGTGAAAGAAATCAACGTGAAAAGGCCAATATTCTATGATTCCAACAAAATGGACATTCTGGAAAAAGCAGAACTATGGAGACAATGAACAGATCAGTGACGGCCAGTGGTGGGGCTGGGGGGTGGGAGCGAGACAAATAAGCAGAGCATGGAAGATTTTAAGGGCCATGAAAAATCCTCCGCGTGATACTATAATAGATGGACACACGTCATCATACCTGTGTCCAGATCCACAGGACGCACGACAGCAAGTGTGATCCTAACATACACGACGGACTTTGTGTCAGTACAATGCATCAGTGCAGGCTCATCCTTGGTAAAAAATATACCACTCCGGTGATCATGGGGGTGGGATACACACGTGTGCGGAAAGGGATGTACAAAAAAATCTCTATTTTCCAATTTATCGTATACCTAAAACTGCTCTAAAAAATTAAGTATTAAAAAAAGACAATTTGGGGGAACCCGGTGGCTCAGTTGGTTAAGCATCTGACTGTTGGTTTCGGCTCAGGTCATGATCTCAGGGTCATGGGAGCGAGCCCTGTGTAAGACTCAGTGCTGGGTGTGGCATCTGCTTGAGATTCTCCCTCTCCCTCTGCCCCTCCCTGCTGGCCCCCCACCTCCCTCTCTAAAGAAAATAAAAATAAAAAATAAAAGAACAAGATACTTCCATGCATGTCAGCCTGTGAATACCTTGAAGACATTAAAAGAAAGAAAAAGGACAATGCAATTAAAAAGTGGACAAAGGATCTAAGGGGAGGTCTCTGCAGAGATCTATAAATGGCAATCCGCACATGAAGTCGCTCAGTATCATGAGTCACTCGGGAAATGCAAATCCCAACTACGAGACTCCACTTTACCAGGGGGATGGTGAGGACCAGAAAGACAGGGGACTGCAACTTGACCCACGCTGGCGGGTACGCACTGCGTCCCCAGAAGGTCACGCCCAGAGTTACCATCCGGTCCGGCAGGGCCACCCCTAGTGTGACCCAAGAGAGACGAAAACACGCCCCACAGAACCCGTACCCAGTGTTCGCAGCAGCGCCATTCCTAAGAGCATGGCCGTCAAGGGCAGAAAGGACACGCACAGTGTGGTCTGCCCACAGAACGGAGACACGAGGTCCCGACCGAGGCTATGGTTCTGGGGGGGCCCGCAAGCGTGAGCTGGGCTCGTCTCCTGGGGGGCATTCACTGGAACCGTGCTGGACAGGCAAAGCTGCGGAGACAGAAAGCGCATCAGCGGTCGCCGAGGGTGGCCAGGAAGCGGGAAGGGGCTGCTAGCGGGTGCTAGAGTTCCTGTTCGGGGGATGAGAGTGTCCTAAAATTGGCTGCGGTGACGGCTGTTCAGCTGCGTGCACTAAAAACCACCAAACTGCACGTTGTAAATGGGTGAACGGTATGGCACGTGAATTATATCTCAACCAAGTATTTCTTACACACACACACACACACACGCACACCCACACACGCACACACAGCCCCAGGGGCCTGGGAAGGGGACTAGCCCCCTGGGAAGACGCTCCGGCTCCACAGCCTGGGAGCCTCGTGACCTCGGACAAGGACTCTTCCGGGGCCAGTTTCTGTTTCTGCAGCATGTTGGCCCTATGACCTAGCTCACAGAGTCAAGCTAGTGAAAACAAACCCCGGGTGTGAGCACGTCTGGCTCAGGACAAGGTGTGCAACAGACCCTCTACATGGGCCAAAGAAATAACCCAGCACCTGAAAGGACCTTGTCAGCAACAGATGCAAGGTGCTTGCAGAATTTCATGCACAAAATTGTAACACGTTATCAGAAATAACCCATGTTCAGTTTCATACTTTGCTTTCCAAAGACTCACTTGAGCTCAGTGCCCCACTGTTTGAAAGAGAAATTAATGGAATTTGGGTGCCCGGGGGCCGGCTGGTGAGCTGCTGCCTCTCCTACCAGCCCTCCGGGGGCGGCTTCCACAGCGAGGACATTCCTGGCTTTCTCTGCAGAAGCATCCGGATGTGAGCAAATTACATCTGAAAGACAGGCAAACAAAGGTCAGTCCTCAACGCTTCCATGTGGAACTCCGTATCCTACGTGAGACATGGACCCGCGCACAATCAGCCATGGGACGGGACCCGTGGTGGCATCAGCGTTCTGCAACTGTTTTCACCTCAAGCACCTCCATGTTTGTGAGGTGCTTCAAAGGCCCCGGGGCCGCGGTCCCCTGCGCCGTCTCGCAGATGAGCAAAGCGGCAGGAAGCTGTGGCCAAGGTCCACTCGCCTGTGCTGATAAGGGACAACTCCTGGGATCATTATATAGAAAAGCAAAGTGCAGATCAGATCATACGAACACTCTGCCTCTAAGAAAACGGGCGAATAGGAGTATTCCGTACACATTTGCTAACATCGGCAGTGGTGACCTGTGGAAGCAACTTCACACGTCCCAGAGGAGTGGCTCAGAAAAGGCAAACACTGGCGCTAAAGCGCGATCACATCTCAGAATGGCTTCAAAACGTAAGCTTTTGAAATACCGAACGTTGAAACGGTTGACGTGTAGGATTTGCTTTAAAATAAGAATATTTGGTTATTTAACAAATAATAATATTTGCTTAAAAATAACAAAGTGGGTAGGGGTGTCTGGGAAACCAGATGGGTCCATGAGATAGTAATTTTGGAAATTACCCAGGAAACGTGGGGTAATATTACAGGTTCTTTCTTTGCATAAAACTCCCTGTAATAAGAACTTCTTTTAACATTCTGAAAAACGTCCCCAGCTGCAAATACTTTGTATTCTCCACAGTGGATCCTCTCCCTGAGAGCAGGGCATGTCTGTAAACAGAGGCCAGCCTGCCCTACACGTCCCTTTCACAAAGTGCCCCTACTCTGGCCGCATCGACCCTCACTCTCCCTGTGAAGCAAAATCAGAACGGCGTGCTGAGCATGGACACCAAGGAAAATGCGACTTCTCGTGAGAGGAGCGTCGGATCCGAGCAGCTCAGGACGGTGTCTGCGGAGGGCCCCAAGCGCCGACAGGGGAACCAACCTCACCCACGGGCTCTTGCAGCGGAGGCAGGGCACCAAGTGACCAGGTAGCGTGGGAGGGGCTCTGAGAACTCGCGGGGAAAGCACACCGCGTGTGACGGGAAGAAGTGAGGGCCGTGTCTGTTGGGGGAACTTGGCTGCGGCCCAGAGTGGGGTCCTGAGTGGGAGGAGCAGAAGGGGCGCTGGGAGAGAGATCAGATTCCCAATTCTTGGTTTGAATTACCACCCCACGGTGAGCACGGTGTACAGCCAACCACGAGAACACACATCTAGGAAGGACACATAAAGTAACAGAAGGTCACGCAGAAGCAGGGAGCCCCTGGAACCCGGAGCCTGGGACCTCAGAGGGAGCGGAGGAAGGACCCCGCCCACGGCTGCAACCACGGCAGCTCCTCTCCCCTCCTTCAGACTGCAGCTCCCGAGATTTCACTTGGAAAGAGTTCCAATAAACAAAAAACAAGGTCAAACCCTGGGAACCGGGCCCAGCTCCCCGGCCCTCACAAGACAGACCCCACACGGCAGGTGCCGTGACCGTCCCTGCGAGGACGGGTGGCCAAGCTCGGGCTTCCCAAGGGCTGGTCCTCGCAGAGCTCACGGTGAAGCTCCACAGGCCGGGCCAGGGCGTGGACGCGGGGCCTGGGGCTCCTGCCTGCTGCGCTCGGGCCAGCCTCTTGCGAGCTTCTGTGGGGCTGGGGACAAGGTGAGCGGCGGCCCCACTGCGGGCGCCAACTGTCAACCACTCTTGTGAAGCACCTCCTGCCCAGAAAACCCCAGGCCCTGCGGCCACCCTGGACTGGACTGCAAATGCTTCCTGAGGACGGCGAGGCGCAGGGGCCTGCTGGAGACAGGGATCCAGGGGCTGGGGAGGGTGCTGTCAGAACACACCGTCTCCGAAAGTTATTACTCCATGTGAAAAAGCAGCAATTCCCCATTTTTGCTATTACTGTCATTTTGCCTTGTCTTCGGTTTTTAAATCACTGCATGATCGTTACTTAATTAGAAGCAGAGCTGCTGGCGTCTCCCGCATCCGCACATCCGGATTCAGGAGCCGCCCGGACGGGGACACAAACTAGGTCACAGCAGGGTTTCCCTGCAGTCCTGCCGGGAGCCACGGGACCTGCCAGCCTCAGTTGGGAAACCATCTGTGCTCAAGCCTGATGGCCTTCAGATGCTCTCCGCTCCTTTCCAACATTTTCAAACGTGGCAACTCCGACGCGTCCTGACAGCAGGGCTCCCCGTCCTCTCCTGCTGCCTCGACCCGGCCAGGACGCTGGGCCGTCCACGAAAGGGGGACAGCCACGGGAGAAGGCCCTTTCCACAGGCGGCACGGAACATGTCTCTGTGGGAGCCGGAGGACAGAGCGGGCTCAACAGGAAAACGTTTCTTTCCCCTTTATCAGAGTGAGTTTTAACCCAGATGGTGGAGGAGCGATCAGAGCTGGAAGAAAATCTCCTAAGCGAGGGCAGAGTGCATGCCCAAGCACCAAAAAGGAGGGGCTTTCTGGGCCTCCAGCAGGCTGGCCCACGCATCCTGCCCGGCTGCTCCCGCCATGGGCATAAGCCTGTGACCAGCAGCTAGCAGAGAAGAGGGGCTCATATGCACTGGGGAGCCGGACCATGGACGAACAAAAGACGGAATGATGAGGAGCTGGGGCAGGAGGCCCTATACTTCCCCGCAGGGCTCATGGGTCTCCCTTGTGAACTACCTCCCCTGCCACCTACCTTTGAGAGACCCCGGAGTCGGGTGGGGCCCACACCTGGGAGATGACTTCCCTCTCCTGCCTGTACCACCTCTCCACCTTCTGCCAACTTTTCAGACCCCAGCCTCCGCACCAACATGCGCCCAGTTCACCTGCACCCCCTCCGCCCCCAGCATCAGCAACCCAGCTCACCTGCACCCCCTCCGCCTTCAGCATCACCAACCCAGCTCACCTGCACCCCCTCCGCCCTCACCAATACCAACCCAGCTCACCTGCACACCCTCCGCCCTCACCAATACCCACCCAGCTCACCTGCACCCTCTCCGCCCTCAGCATCACCAACCCAACTCACCTGCACCCCCTCCACCCTCAGCATCACCAGCCCAGCTCACCTGTACCCCCTCCGCCCTTACCAACACCAACCCAGCTCACCTGCACATTCTCCGCCCTCAATATCACCAATCCAGCTCACCTCTACCCCCTCCACCCTCAGCATCACCCACCCAGCTCACCTGCACCCCCTCTGCCCTCAGCATTACCCACCCAGCTCACCTACACCCCCTCCGCCCTCAGCATCACCCACCCAGCTCACCTGCACCCCCTCTGCCCTCAGCATCAATCCAGTTCACCTGCACCCCCTCTGCCCACATGAACACTCACCCAGCTCACCTGCACCACATTCTCCTCCGCCCACAGCCGGGCTCCAAGGAGGCCCCTCCCAGGTACAACTAGAAGCCATCCTCACACACTTTCTCGGCCTGATGTGAGGCCACAAGGAGCCTCAGAGGACATCCTGTTCACACATGGGGAAATGGTGTGTGCCCAAGTCCCGTGAGCTCTCCCCACTGGAACCGGCTGCCCCTTGGGCACCACGCGAGAGTCACCGAGACGTACACTTCCGAACAACACGTAGCATTTGCAGTACTTTGCAAATGGGGTCACAGAGAGAAGCACAGCCTCTCTGATCAGCTCACCAGGTGACATGTGAAACGAGTACGTGGAGCCGCCGCAGTCTGCCGGGCTTGGGTCTGCATCCTGCCCCATGTGGGCCTTCCCTCTGCCAGCCGCAGTCCTTGCACAGACCGTGGGGCCGAAAGGAGCAGAGCCGCAGCCCGCCCGCCCGAAAAGGAAGTGTGTGGTCTCCCCTCAAACCGTCCTGCCATTTTCTGCAGGAAGCACCTGCCGTGCTCTGACGGGTACTTGGGCACTCAAGAGCCCTGTGACCGTGCTTCCGTGGTCCCCAACTTGCAGGAAGTCTCAAAAGACAAGGTGTTGTCATCCCCGGCTGTTTGCTTATCAGTCTACATGGGAAAGGGAGCTCAGCAAAACGAACTGCGTGCAGCTCCTGGAGCGGGGCCGTCAGCCTCCTGTGCTTGCTTCCTGTGCTCTGGCTGTCTCATGCCCGGCCCCTGGGAAAGGCTCTGAACCCTGCACTTCGTCTTCGCCAAGTATTCCTTTGTGTGGAAACTAGGTCTTTACCATGCAGGCGCGGGGACGTGCGGGGTCCGTGTGCGCGCGGCACAGCGCTCCCGCGGGGTGCAGCCAGGCGGGGACGTGCGGGGTCCGTGTGCGCGCGGCACAGC